CATGTGTCAACAATGCAAGTGTGACTTTAGAAGACTGCACAGTGACTTTAGCAACCCTCAGGAAATGCCATTTTGCTACTTCACCCTCATCCTCCCTGGTAAGTGTGGCCTCCAGGTGCTCCAAGTTTGGGGTAAGTTCAACCAGCCATGACAGATCTAAACCACAATTGATATGGTCCACAAAAATAAGTTTTTTGAGGATCTGGCCACTGCCTAAGAGGTAGTTGTAGGTATCAATGACACAGTTTCGGAAGTAGAGTTTGAGGGTGAGAGCTGAAATGGAATTGATGATGTACAAAGAGTCAAGTGAAGACACATCACAAGTGAGGCAAATGAGGTTTGGACACATCATACTCAAGAGAGATGCTTGATAAGGAAGAATTCTTGTCTCCCATACTTCATTCAGCTTCAAAACCTTGCTCCCATCTTCTGGGCTTAGATGCTCAAGAATACTGCTCACAGACCCAGCTTGAATAGGGCCTCCAAGTGACTTAAGCTTGGGGACATAGTGAAGAAGGACCAAAACACCTGTTAAACTGACACTGGTTGCACTGACACCTACCATCTTGAGATTCAATGCACAAGGATTTGTCTGGATGTCTTGGAGGCAGAGGGTATCTTCACTCTGACCCTGTGCAAGCTCTGGATCTTTCAGCAGAAGACTGGCAATTGCTTCATCATTTACTCTAAAAGATTCATTGACATTGAGGTATTCAAGGTGAATACAATTTGTACCCAGACTCTCCAGCAATGTCCCATCTCCCACCCCAATCAGTGTGACCCATCGCAAGTTTTTCATTTGGCTGATGACACGATAAAGAGTATTATTAACATCTAGAAGATATTTCTTATCACTCAATTTCCTTAGATTGCAGGCCAGCCCAAGCTTGGTAAGGTTGGTCATTAAGCCAATAGTGAGAGTGCGGTAAAAGTGCCACACTTCATCAATATAAACGCTTCCTACTTGGGTAAAGTCAATGGTTTGAGTACTACGGTCCCCTAGCATCTCCAGAAGAAAACATTTGCCAGTGAAAGTTTTCTTATGCAAGGGTTGTTGGAATATAATATTGATTAGATGCTGCCGAATGTTTGAATTCAGAGTTGAAGAAACATATTCATGTTGTTGTTTACGTCCCTTGGGTGTTGCACTGACACTAATGCTGTTATAGAGCATGATCAACACTTGTTCAGTACATATGTCAGTCAGGGAGGGTAATATTTTATATGGTGGCATAGCTATTTCTTCAGTATTTTACTATGAATTTCAATCAGTCATCAAAAATAAAACTTTTCATTTTCTGCTTATACCATATACATTCAGTTTAGACCCATTTTATCACGCATACTGAACACAATGATGTCGCAGAGTCTGTAAGAAAAGAGAACTTTCAGTGAGCTTTCTTTTGAATCATAAAACTAACTGACATAAAAAGGAATAAGAACGCTGCTTATCACAAAAAGTGACACAATATTACCAGGAATGGGAAAAGTTCCTTTAATCATGATTTGATTTTTCTTCAGGAAACAAGGCCTGTAACTATTGCAGAAACTGCCTGAGAAATATTAATAAGTTAAAAGAGCATTTATGCTGCATTTGCTGCCATTTAGTGTCAGTTCCTTTTTTCTCTCTATTTTAATTTCTTTTCTTCTTTCCATGGATAACACTTGTATTTAGTCTTGGGCCTTATGATCTGGGTGATCTATACTTTTTCCAGTGACCTTACATATCTTAATGCAATCCTGTGGCAAATGATCTTAACCCATTGCTGCCAGGGATGGCATGTACATACATGCCATGCTCACTGTGAGTCGACTTGTTCGATTGTTTTTACACATAGATGGATACACTTGTACTAAGTTACCAGTGAGCCAATTACGAGTACTGTCTGTCTTGCCTGTTCACCCTTTTGATCGATTTATGAAAATATTTAACGTTATCCTAATTTGCTGTTAAAAACACCACCTATATTTATAGCACTAATAAGAATACGTTTTTTTTTAACCATAGATGGATACACTTGTACTAAGTTACCAGTGAGCCAATTACGAGTACTGTCTGTCTTGCCTGTTCACCCTTTTGATCGATTTATGAAAATATTTAACGTTATCCTAATTTGCTGTTAAAAACACCACCTATATTTATAGCACTAATAAGAATACGTTTTTTCCCGCCAATTCAAGGAAAGGTGAAATCAGGACTAGCAGAGCCATCTATGTACAGAGATATTTCACAAAAATATAAAAATTGAGTACAGTATTTTCCCCATTTTTTGTTCATTTTCCCCGGCAGCAATGGGTTAACATTTGGATGTTCAAATTAGCATCCTAACCATTTGACAAAATGACTGATATAAGCAAACATATCAGCTACAAGCCAACATAAGAGCAGACTTATCATGACAAATACCTGATGACCTTTGACCATCTTCCCAGTCCACACGTAAAACCAATCTAAAACACCATTTATTTTCTTTCATTCTTTGATGGAGAATTTGAAGATCTTCATGAGAAACACCATACCAAAAAGCAAGGGGTGCCAGATACATAAGATCTGGGCAGTTTGAAATAAGGCAGTCTATTCCCTTCATACTAATAACACATTTATTTATCTTCAACTTTTGTAGGTTCTGTAGACTGCCAGAAGCAACTGCATTAGTGATCAAGGTATCATTGATATCCTCATATGTATCCAGACCCGACCATGTTTCAAAGGTGACGTCAAGATCCTTCAGTCTTGGAGCATGTGTCATCAAGGCAAAGAGGGGCTTCGAGGACTCTAAGGTTATTTTGGCAGTTGTCAGGAGAGGCCATTGTGATATATTCTTCCCTTCTTCTTTCATGACAGTGGCCTCTAGATGCTCTAGGTTTGGAGTGAGTTCCACAAGCCATGTGAGGTCCAGGCAGCAATTGATATGGTCTACAAGAACAAGCTCTCTCAGATTCACACCAGAGACTAAAAGGTAATTGTAGATTTCAATAGTGGCATTCTGGAAGTAAAGCTTAAGGGTAAGGGATGACACGGAACTAAGAAGGTGCAAGGCAAAAAGGGAAGAGGCATCAGTGGAGAGATAGGTAAGGTGAGGGCACACTCTGTTTATGAGTAAGGCTTGGTTGGGTAGGATTCTTGTGTCCCACAGTTTCTGTAGGTTGAAGGATCTGTAGCCATCCGCTGGTTGCAGGCTCTCCATTATTTTGCATAAAGAACCTACATTTACATCTCCTTCAAAGGATTCAAGGTAAGGAACACAGTGTAAGATGGTGAGAGCACTTTTCATGCTCACCTCCGTGCCACTAAGGCCTATCACCTTAAGACTAGAGGCACAAGGATTTGTTGGTATATCTTGGGAATCAAAGTCTTTTATGTTTTGGAATGCCACATCCACTGAGTCTCTCAGGAGAAGTTTTGCCACTGCTTCATCATTCACCCTGTGGGATTCATCAACATATAGGTACTCAAGGTGTGGACAATTCATTCCAAGTGCTGTTAAGAGGGTCTTATCAGCCACTCCTACTAGCCTGACCCAGCGGAGATTTGTCATCTTGTTGAAGACACGGTAGAAAGTAGCATTGACTTCCATCAGACATTTCTTGTCTGCCATAGTCCTAAGGTTACAGTTTATTCCCAGTCTTGTAAGATTTGTTATCTGAGCCTCAGTAAGGATCCTGTACAGGAAGTTTACCTCATAAAGATAGGCAAAACCTGCACAGCTAAAGTCAACACTCCGGGTATTTTGGTCTCCTAGTAACTGCAGCATTAAGCACTTGTATGTCAAGTTCCTTTCATACAAAGGTTGTCTGAAGGTAAGGAAAAGAAGATGTTGTCGGATGTTAGAGCTGAGGGCAGAGATAAGGTAAAGCCTCTGATGCTTGTGCTGCTTATGTGATCCACAAACCTTAACAACACTAGAAATCCACTCTAAAGTCCACTGAATGCATATATCTCTTAGTGAGGACAGAGGCTTATATGGTGGCATTGTTATTGACTTCTGTTCAGACAATTGAAAATTCATATCTTATATTTCCTCATCTACATAACAATCTTATGTAGTTTAACCCTCATGTACACACAGAGGAGATGGTGATGCAGAGGAGTCTGTAAGAGAAGAGGATTTTCTGTATTCTTCTCTCTTGCAGAAGCATCATGCACTACAGATTTCATTAACAAAGTCAGTTGAGATTTAATCTACGTAAGAATCAGTGCAGCACATCATATGGCTACATTCTTAGACAATCTACCCAAAACAGGCTACATATAGTGCATAGGCAATATTATTTCAGTTGCAATCTAACTATGTGATTTCACCCTATAGAAGGGAGATGGTTAGGTTATTCAACAGAAGCAAATAACAACGTATACAAAGCATCACACTAAAACCTCAAAAAGCTGTCTCTTTCTATAAGCACTATTGGCAGCACAGCATCATTAAGCAGGTTAATATAAAGGCTGTTACCTGGACAGGTTCTAAATAACAATTATCACAATGTAAGTGATATTTTAGTATTGCATCAGCTTTAAGACTCGTTACCTCATCATGAATAAAGTTTAATCAGTGTGTCAAACCCTACATTATCTATGTTTGTAAACACAAATTATAATTTTCATCTGTTGAGAATTTTCTTAACATTTCCTTTTTAATATTTCTACATCTTTTTTATATACTTAAACAAAACTGCCAAATTATTTACACTTTGTTAAACTTGGCACAGAGCGAGTTTAAGTGGAGGATTTTACAAAATCGTCTGATACAAATATGTCAGGTGTTTTTAATTATAATAATCTTCCAATGGGGTAGGATCTTAGTAAAAATAGTTTAAATTATAAAGTATATATAAAAAATGGTTTTGCTCAGTGTAATACTGATGTGTCTGTGTAATGGAAACTAAAAAAGTTTTTGAACTTAATCCTGATTTACGAAACAAAAATAATCAAATAAGAAATCCTCACAAAATCATATTCTCAAACATATGTTTTATGTGGTTTGGGTTCTTGGTGACAGTGGTATGAAACAACTCTCTATTATGTATTTGTAATTTATTTATCATAAAAGTATATATTTTGTGATACAAAGGAATGAAAAGTATTTTTTTTTATCTTGTCCTGGAAAAAAATATAACATGTAGAGACTCTTACTTACCAAAACAGAAAATTTATATTTTCAAAAATTTACATTTTCAAAATTTTCAAATAGACTGCATGAAACCAGAAGAATCAGACAGGGTATAGTGAAAAATTTCAATGGGAGTGGCAGTACCCATATCAGAAGCATTTAAGCTGCAAAATGATAATTTTTAGTTTGCAAAGTTGTTGTTGTTGTTAAATAAAAACATAGAAAAAAAACAATGTTGTGAACAATCCACATAAAAAGCAGTAAACACTGGTCTTTCAACCTTTCAAGGACATGTATACTATAATTAAGCATGGTCAGGTAGGATACAAGGAATAGTGTATGTAATGTCCATTGAATGACGGAAAATTAATGTTTTCAAATGTCATAATGCTGATGTTCTTTAAGGATTAATGCAGTGAAAACAAAATTTTGTTGGGTCAGAAAATATTCACACTTTTTGGGGATCAAATTGAATATACCTAGAAAATGTTTAAAAATAAATTAGAAGTTTTAAATACTGTATTAAAATCATTCAGTTTTTCCTGATATATACAAAGGTAAAGTACACCTGATGTCAAGGGGGATATAGGATTGGCAAGGAATAGTTATCAGTTAAGAGCCAAAAAAAATGCTTTCAAATGCTTGACTAAGTAACTTGAAATCATCACCAGAGAAAAAATACAGACTGTAGTCAGTTCTTCAAATTTGGTGAAAATCAAATAAGAAAGCACAAAGACCAAGACCAATATCTCTCATCAGCTACTTTAGAAAAGGAATCTTACAGACAACTAAAATAGCTTGCCAATTCTTTTAACAGGAGGGAAAATTTTTGGTATAGTCAGGGAAGGATGGGCATACATTAGCACATGCTACTCTATGAGTAAGGTGCACAAGAATCTGAACACAACTCATGACTTGATGAGCCCTCACCGAGTGTCAAAGAATATTTGTTATGACATCACCTGTTGCCAGGGGGTTAACCCAATAACATGTAAAATTTCTGGTAATTTCATGCAAGAACAGCATACATTAGTGCATACTGTTCTGCACCTGAGTGTTTGTCTGGCTTTCAGAAGAGCACAAGGCGAGTTTGAGCAATGTGATTTTAGGCCTTATCTTATCAAGAGAGAGAATTCCACATTATAATGGCTTAATCATTGAAGATAAAGAGATATAATCAGATTGTAAAGTGTGGAAGTACATTTTTAGTTTTTGACTGAAAAATCTTCATGAAAATTAAAGTTTCCCATTCCTAATCATTATCAAGGGGAGCAATGTAAAAATAAAACCTGCACATACCAAAGATGAATAAACCATATGGATGGGCTTTAGGCAACAGAGATCATATAATATATATATGATAACATGATGTGTAAAAATAGGAAAAACTGATTAGAAATACTATTTGCATTTTTACGATATCTCAAAAAATTAAAACAACCTAAATGCCATTATCTGACTTTCAAAAAAAATCTAAATTGCCATTTTGTTTTCACTGCTATCACTGGAAATTCAGTTAATTGCTCAGCTTCATAAGTAGGCTTCATAACAAATATTAGCATCTGACCTGCTGATTAACTATACCTTAAAGTATTCTGTTGAACCAAATAAAATAGTTATTACTTTTAAATAGTAGTATGCCTAAAGCAATTATCAAGCAAAATATCTCATGAACATCAATCTTCTATAAGAAAAACTACTGTAATATCTAAGGAATTACTAATCTACAAAAATACATACATCTATTCCTCTCTTGCAACTATATCATTGGCTACATATATATAGGAATCTAAACTTGAAGACTATAAACTATAAAATATAATAAAGATCAAATATAATACAGACATTGTAATACACAATATTTCAGTGTTTATTTAATTTGAATACATATGCCTAAATATGTATAATCACAGATTCATAATTGTATTTTTCTTTCTATTAATTTTACCTTTTACTGAAGCTCTAACCAACTCTTGAAACTACACCTCTTGTATGATAATACTTCAATTTCTTGTAAAATAAAAATGAAACCTGAAAGAACCATTGCAATATATTAAAAATCATCTATAACCCATCACAATTTGTATGAAAAACATTACATTTGCAGATTTTTCCTTGTTTCATCCAATACATTAAACTCTGAATACAGTAATCACAAACGAACAAAGAAAATTCCAATAATTACATATTATAAAATCGATCCTACATCATAATATGGCACAGTAACACAATTCTTTAGAAGTAAGTCCATCAAACCTTGTCTTTCGACTGAAGTGACTCCTTGAAATCACTTTTTTCTTCCCTAGCCTACGCCACAGCACCGTGCTCCTTGACTCTTCGAACCTATTAACCTCCGTTTGATCTTGTAGTGAAAGGCTTCTACGTATCCGCA